CTAGAATACATACAACTTGGTGAAGTAATACGTTGTTTCATGTTATCACATGTGAAACACATGTAGTACAATCTACATATACGCTAGAATACATACAACTTGGTGAAGTAATAAGCTGTTTCATGTTATCACATGTGGAACACATGTAGTACAATCTACGTATTAGCTAGGATACATTCAACTTCGTGAAGTAATAAGTTGTTTCATGTTATCACATGTGGAACACATGTAGTACAATCTACGTATAAGCTAGTATACATTCAACTTTGTGAAGTAATAAGTTCTTTCATGTTATCACATGTGGAACACATGTAGTACAATCTACGTATAAGCTAGGATACATTCAACTTGGTGAAGTAATACGTTGTTTCATGTTATCACATGTGAAACACATGTAGTACAATCTACGTATAAGCTAGAATACATACAACTTGGTGAAGTAATACGTTGTTTCATGTTATCACATGTGGAACACATGTAGTACAATCTACGTATAAGCTAGGATACATTCAACTTCGTGAAGTAATAAGTTGTTTCATGTTATCACATGTGGAACACATGTAGTACAATCTACGTATAAGCTAGGATACATTCAACTTGGTGATGTAATAAGTTGTTAGCTTTTTTCTAAGTATTGATGTATCTGAACTTCATTTCTTGTTAAATAGTTTTTATACTGGCACGCCATGAGATTTAGAAGTTTTATTTCTTTGTGTATTATTAATAGTTCTCCTGTGGGACAGCCGTAAGTCTTCGGATTTACAAAGCTAAAATCAGGGATTCAATTCCCCTCGGCGGACACAGAAAATAGTACAATGTGGCTTTGCTACAAAAACAAAAACAAAAACACACATACACACGTTTGTTGTTAAGAGCAGTGCCTGGAACGAGTATCGAAACCCGATTTTTAGCGTTATAATCTCTCAGACTTATCTCAGAGCCAGTTGGGGGGGGGGGGAGTGTTGATAGCAGTTGTTACGTTATATTATTGCATATAACTACTAATATGTAAATTACTGATCAACACAATATATATATACCACCTTGCACCTCTTCAAATACACAATTAAATAGCACACTATTTGTAATACAGCTAATAAAATATAGATGTAGGCAGTATAAGCAATAGCGATCTGTTGTTTCTCATAACTTGACCATAGTCATTTCTATAAATACATCGCTATAAATCTTTTTTTAGGCTTCGCTAAATCATAGCGTTATAATTCTAGTGTATTGCATCACGGTGTAAAATCCCTGCATTGTGCAGTAATGACATCACCACGATTGGCTCACATGACTAAAACGCATTCTCTTAACGTGTGTATATATCCGCGACAAAAACACATATTTAAAAGCGTGAAATTACTTATTTTTTCAAATTGTCAAACAAACGATAATTTTTTAAAACGTTTAATATTTATATAGTAGATGATTATATAATTTTTATGATAAACATAAACATATTTTACAAAAGTCTTTACAGGATTAAATTTCTTTGCGATTGCATCCAGTCCGTATCACTGATTATTTACAAACAACCGAGCGGAGGTGTCGTAGTAGGGTAGAAATATTATAAGTATAATTTCTTTTATTATTATCTGTGTAAGTAAAATTTGCACGTTTTATTGGATATTAATTGTATACATTAGACCTTTTATGAAATGAAGTTTCAGTACAAAGAAGAACACCCTTTTGAAAAACGCAGGGCCGAAGGGGAAAAGATCAGAAAGAAGTATCCAGATCGAGTGCCTGTATGTAGTTTATGAGTAATAAATAAAATTATCAATGTAATAATACATTACTATTCGTAACTTCCTAAGTTATTAGGATAAACATTTATAATTATAATGTATAGTTAATATTTGATCTTTAAGTTTGATAACCCAACATTCCGTTATTTGGAGTGAGTAACTGACTTGACTGGTACTACTACTACTACTAGTACTATTAGTATTAATACTAGTAGTACTAGTTAGGCATATAAATAGAAATGACATCGGATATCCATAACTTCATGAACCATGATAAGGCATGACACTGATTTTGAAAAATGAACTAGGCCTAAGACTTGATTTACTTTAGAAAGAAGAGCAGGTTACAAATACTTAAAATACTAGTTTTCTACTCAATATATTGAGTCAAACAGAACATTTTTACGTGCAGTGCTAAGTTAATGATATATTTTAATGATTTCACAAATTTAAAGGTTTGATTCTACATGCTCCCAATTTTCGCACATCAAATACGTGAACTATTAGTGATAGTATCACTAGCTTGATTGCTTTAATAAATCAGCAATTTTTAACATTTTCAGAATGAAATTGTACCAGTCACTGTCATAATGAGAGCTATTTAAAATTGAATTTGAAGCATGAAAAAGGTTATATTGTGAGGGAGCAGGGAAAATTGAAACTTTCAAATAAGAAAGAAAATAAATAATACAAGCAAGAAATAACTGTTCCATTTGACCAAATAGATTGATTGAAAAACATTTTGTCAAAGATCTGTAATAGGCCTTTGTTGATAAAACTAGAAGCATTCATTACTATGCACTGAGAGTAGACTGTGAAGATGTAATCCACCTGCTGTATTAATATTACCTTCCAGCAGTTGTGTTTTGACTTTAAACAACAACAGTGTTTAAATTTGCTTATGTTGTATGTTTGCTAATGTAGTATCTCATTTCCATGGCTCATCCATTTTAGAGCTTTTGAAAATAGTTTTTGTAATATATATTTAGTTATTTGTAGTCATTTTTAACCTTAACATGCTAGCTTGTTTATTTGTTTGTTATTAAGCACAAAGCTACACGATGGGCTATCTGTGCTCTGCCCACCATGGGTAGCGAAACCCTGATTCTAGCATTGTAAGTGTGCAGACATACTGCTGTGCCACACTTTATTCTGCTCTTTACAGCATTTTTTTTTTTGCATTTAAAAAGTATCTGTTTATTCCTTTTAATTATCAAAAAAAGGATGAAATTATCATAGACCCTCTTTACGCTGCTTTGTGATGATTTGACATTGTTTCAAACTACCTTTAAGCACTCCCCGTAGGTCTCATTTGATTGGAAATACTTTTTTCAATTATAGTTACATAACATAATTACCCTGCTCATTTAAATGAAGTTAACACTTTCATATCAATGCGAGTCACAATGTAGGGAGAATTTTAATATCTTAAAAGGCTGATATTTCAGATAAAAGGGTAAATTTCTCTATTGGTGGTGGGGGATCTGTCATCCCAGTAGACACACCACTGCAGAACACTTATCAAAGATGTGACATTATAGGGTGGGTCATATCAAACTGCCTAATAAAGGAAAATTTAATTATAAGTCATACAATATAACTTCTTGTATATATTAGTAAACTATATTTGATAAACATTCTAACATTACAGATGTTTACATTTTTCAATATCATTATCAAAAAGTGTGATATAAATCTCCTTATAAAAAGAGTTGCATGAAATCCAATTGAATTATTTTCTTCAGTATCTTTAGTATAGGATTCACTTTGGCCCACTTGTATATTATCTGTTGTAAGTATTGGAAAATATTTAGAAGTTGGCTCTAATGAACAGTACAAGGAGTCTTTGTTATATTGATAACTAATAATAGTTTAACTTCTTAAGCAGACAAGAGAGAGAAAACCCATTTGTTAAATGGTATTACATAAAGTTTCTCTTGGTTAATAATACTTTCATTTTAAAATCATGTTGATGTATGCTTTGAATGTTTTGACATGAATTCAAGCATGATTTGTGGCTATATTAGAACTGGCCTCTGATAAATGATAATTACAAGAAAATAAATTTGTTTTTGTATATCTATATATATTTTTTGGAAGAAAGACTTTATAGACAGATGTTACAAGAAAAAAAAAATTGCAATGAAGGCTTGTGTGTACATATAGATAGCTTTCCTTTATGTATTGTAGGTGATTGTTGAAAAAGCTCCAAAAGCGAGAATTGGGGACTTGGACAAGAAGAAGTATCTTGTTCCTTCTGATCTCACTGTTGGTCAGTTTTATTTTCTTATTCGTAAAAGAATTCAACTCCGGCCTGAAGATGCTCTGTTTTTCTTTGTCAATAATGTTATACCACCAACCAGTGCATCAATGGGAACTCTTTATCAGGTTTGTGTTCATGGCTTTAGGAAACTATTGTAATGAACTGGTTGAACTATGTTCAGAGAAGGATTTAAATTACAAAACCACAAGCTTATTGTTTTAAAGTTTGGTTAAGTGTATCCTTAGAAAGGTTGATACTGGGGAACCATGAGCTTGTAAGATAAAAGTTTAGGTTTTTGGCAAGTGGACCTGATGGAGACAGGTCCACTTGCTAAAAGCACTTGGATGTTATTCTGTTGTTGTTTTTTATCTGTGTTTATGTGATTTTTAATGAGATTTATACTAGAGAACAGCCAAAAGTCTGTAAGATTCATACTTTAACAAACCACCCAACAGGTAATACACTACCACCTTGTATTTTACACAAACTCGGTACAGAAGGTAATTCCAAACAAAATAACATAAACAGTTTTAGCCTGATCAGGTCTTGAGGTCAAAGGTTTTACTTTACTTAAAAATAGATGTGTGAGCTACTTCAATAGAAATAACCTAGTTGTGCTAGAGGCTTGAGTTCAGCAAGGATTACTTCCTAATCTTAAAAAATAAAAGCCTGAAAATTTTCCACAGTTTTTAGCTGTAAAGTAATAAGAAAGGGATATATATATTTTTTTGGTGTTACAGATATCAAACCTAACTTACCTTATCCATTCAGAGAAGTCTGAATAATAATGAGGTAAATGGTTGGAACAATGATTTTATTTGAATGTGATAACATTACCAAGGAAACACTATGGCAACGATAGCTGACTTTATTGTGATAAATTATGATCTGTTGATTACTAGTTTGTGTGACTGAAAACTGTTGCATAGGGCCAATAAAGAAAGATTTGTTAAAAATGATCACTAGTTCTATTGTGGTATGATGTTACTCGAACTACTGAATAATAGCTGATTTTTCCTCAGGATGAATATCACACTGGTCAGTTTTTCTTTCTCTGCCTCCTCGGTCTTGTGGTTTTTTTTTAGATATTGACTCCAAGAACTCGTATCTTTTTTTTTGTAGAAAATGAGGTGAGACTTGGTCATTGAACTCTGCATATTCTCACTAGGCTTTGGTGTAGACATGGGTGGTCCAACAGGAGTCTACTTGATAGTTAAAGTGTTCCTATGTCCTCACTAGGCTGTGGTGTAGCCATGGGTGGTTCAACTGGAGTCTACTTGATGGTTAAAGTGTTCCTACATCCTCACTAGGCTGTGGTGTAGCCATGGGTGGTCCAACTGGAGTCTACTCGATGGTTAAAGTGTTCCTACATCCTGACTAGGCTGTGGTGTAACCATGGGTGGTCCAACTGGAGTCTACTCGATGGTTAAAGTGTTCCTACATCCTGACTAGGCTGTGATGTAGCCATGGGTGGTCCAACTGGAGTCTACTCAATGGTTAAAGTGTTCCTACATCCTCACTAGTCTGTGGTGTAGCCATGGGTGGTCCAACAGGAGTCTACTTGATAGTTAAAGTGTTCCTATGTCCTCACTAGGCTGTGGTGTAGCCATGGGTGGTTCAACTGGTGGACCTGTGTAAAAATATATATGGTGAAGACGATACACCAAATTTTTACAAATACAATTCTCATAAAAAAAATTGGAAATGCACAGAAATAAAGTAGTGAGTAAACTTATTAGAATACCTTAAGTGTTATCATTTTATTGCTTTACACACAAAACAGTCATTGATTTGCTATTGGAATTAACTTGAAATTATTGCAAGTTAATATTAGTACAAAATTATTACACAATGAATAATGTCTTTGTTTCTTTAATGCTAATGTTTAGTTTGGCCACCTTTCTCATCAGCAACAGCTTAAAACTGTGTCCATATTTTTTGTCTCTGGTATAATTTGGTTCCAACTTTCTTGAAACTCTCCAGTATCTTTCATTATTATACAGGTGGTACTTTTATCAAGCATGGACTCCAGCAAATCCCAGCCTTGTTCTCTGGATTTAAGATCTGGACTTTGTTGTGACCACACCATCCACTGGACATTTTCTGAGTATTTTTTTTTTTTTTTTTTGCCAAATAAGCTGGACATTTCTTGAAAGTATGTGGTCATTATCTTCTTGCAATACGAAATCCTGCTCACTCGGCTTCTCTTCAGAGGACAGAGCATGTGGTGTTTATAGTGATCCATGGTTCTATTAACTTTATGAAGACCATTTATAACACCAGTTGCAGATATTGCACTCCACCAAACAATCATAGAACATCACACCTGCTTGACTGCAAAGCACCCTTTTTAAAATCTCTCATTGACTGTTTGATGAACATTTACACACTGGTTGAAACCAAAGAATTCAAATCTAGGCTCATCTGTCCAAAACACCATGTGCCACTGCTCCAAAACAAAGACTTGTATATGGGTCCTTTTGCAAAAGCTAAACTTTGTGTATTAAGGACTTTCTTGCTGTTACTCTTCTCCAAAGGTCACATTTCCACAATATTCTTGAACCTTTATACGTGTGTAACTTGTTAATGTCATCAGTGAGGTATTTTTCAATTTTCTTTTGGTACTTCAAGAAATAAATTTTTACATATCCAATGTCTTCTCTTTCACTGAGCTTTTTTCTCTGTCCCTTACCTTTTCGGTTGACATAGGAGTGGGTTTCTTTATATCTGTCCATTGTGTGCTTCTCAGTACTTGGTAACTGGCTAATATTTATAATTTTTTATTCCAACCAACACCATGTAAATATTTGACTCTGTCTCTGACAAAGGGTTTAATTCTCTCTCTCTCCCTGTTTTGTCATTTTAATGGCAACACCACAAGGGAGAATATTTAAGAAAAAAAAACAACACCCTTACATGTACCTGCATGAAAAACTCAGATTTTGTGCATGGCAACTGCTACAGAAACTAAAAGCAGTCATGTGTGAGACTGTAGCACCACCTAGTATTTAGATTAAACATCTTGAACAAGTTTTAAAAAATCTACTGCACTTAATCATTTGTGTTGCTTTTCTCTTAAAATTTAAATTAATTCATCGTGTAGCATATTAAAATCACGAAGAAATTGAGAAAATCAATTATTTGCCTATTTTAATTCAATTTCCATTATAGACGCAAATCAAATCTACAAGAGCATTGCAGTTTTTAAATAAATTTGCAGTAAAATGTACTGAAAATCCGAAATGCAGCATGAATATTTAATGGATTTATATAGTGTTTCTGTTTTTGCACTTGTCGCCACACTGATGCCCACAAGTACTCGTAAATATTATTTCATATATGCTTTTTTTACAGCCCCTTCAGTAAATGACATTGACTCCTATTTCTGTGTGTCACAGGAGAGATTTAGAAAGAATGAGAACAATGCTATCACATTTATTAGAAATCATCTTGTGTCACACCATTTTCATTTCATGTCAAGATGATAAATATAACCTCCGATGATCTGACGTGCATGAACTGTATTTTGTCTGCAGTATCACATAGTTCATTATAAACATTTTATTGAAAGTATTAAAATATAATGTGACAGTATTTGTAAACTCGTCAATCTAAAACAATAGATATGTTAACTGATACTTTTCAAATGTATTTCCAAAACTTTTACCATGACATAGTTGTGTCACCTTGTTGAACTGCTTTCTGTATTGTGGGAGTGGTCATACAAATGTCACTTTGTTACTTGCTGTATATCTATCCTCTACAATATTCGAACCTCTTAGAAACTGTGACTGAAAACGAAGGAATTTTCAATACCCATTGAAATTCTTTTAGGCAGGATGATGACAAAACCTTGTTGAAACATTGTACATTTGCTGTTATGTTAAACTTATATTAAAGTTTTTCTTCATTACCCATTTAAGCCATCTCCAACCATTGTTGTATCTAAGTTTCTTTTTACATAAAACCACAACTTCCTGTTGTTCAATAAATCCTTCGAATAGTTTTCTCATAATCTGTACCTTTAGTTTTTATCTTTAATTGTTTTTTTCACATACTTTTCTTCTGATATTTAATGCATATATTTTTACAGATCACTGGTGATGAATTTTGTAGATTTGATAATATATGATTAAATCTGTTTGTGGTTCTTACTGTAGTGCTCATTTTTTTAATTATCAGTTATCCTGATGAATCTGCTTTACTGTGTGAATACAATACGCCCGAGGCCATTAATTTGAGTACATGTAATGAAGCAACAGAGACTGAAGACTGGGTGTCAAACATTAACGTCTGCCATGTACTTCCACGTGTGTCACACGAATATTATTATTATGTGGAAGAAAATGAATCAATTTGAGTACATGTAATGAAGCAACAGAGACTGAAGACTGGGTGTCAAACATTAATTAACATCTGCCATGTACTTCCACGTGTGTCACATGAATATTATTATTATGTGGAAGAAAATGAATTGACTTTCCTCTAATGTTGTTATCATGGTCATGTGAATCAAATAGCTTTTCGTTCCGAGATTAAAGGTCGTTGTATTTTAATAGTTTAGATTCCTTTATAATAGAAAGGGTGTTTTTTTTTATATATATATATATAGAAAACACAATGTAACTTTTCTGTAGTTCTTAGAGACAATGACCTTTCCATGAAAATATTTTTACAATTATACTTGAAAGTTGCAGTCAAGGTCAAAATATGTTTAGAAGTAACCATTATTATTTATTTTTCCATATG